CAGTTCTCAACAACTTTTACCTACGACTTTGCTTGTTTGCTCATGAACAATCAATTATCGTTTCACCAGTCGCGCTCTTGAAACAACCGTTGATGTCTCACTTCCTCTTTCATTGCTGATTCACTCATTTTTTTGTGGGCATTTGTTCCCACATAATCGGGTATGCCCAATCGAAATTAGATCTCAAAACGTGTTCTGTATATTACTTCCAACTTTTTTCTGCGCAGAATATGCTGGAAGTCGTTTTTTCTATCACTTATTGTCTGAAAGTGAAACTCCTGGACCCCTTTTACTGATAAAAAAAACTCGATATTCTGCAGTCCAGAATACCTCAGCAGATTTTCCGTTTGAACGCAAATGCGGAGCGAACTATGGAGAAGCGAGAAAACCGTCTCAGAAAACTTGTTTCGCCTTTCTGACGCTCATAGCATCTACCAATATAAGCATGCGAAAGAGAGGGGTCTTCATGTCAACTGGGAAGAGAAGATAATGCTCTGAGATTCACATTCCTTTCTTGTAGAGCTCTGAACCACATTGGTAATAAACACATGTTGTTCTTGAATTTCTATGCGTCAAACCGTTTAATCTGAGTTGAAAAAAATAAGAAAAACTTGATAATCCATTGGTGAAGGCAGTTAGGTTTGACCTCCACCATTACCTTAGGCGCTCCAGGGTGCTACAGTGACACTAACTATCTTGGTATACCTTCGACATGATTGCTATAATTGAAATTTTCCTTTAGCCTGCATTGTGCGGCTAAGCAATCGTTGTGCCCTTGTAAGTGGGTTTCGATAACTGTAGGATATGGTTCTCCTTGTCTACCCATAATTTTGAATTACCCTAACTTCACGCGTACAAGGCGCGGGGTGGTCCTAGCTTTCATCGAGCTGCTCAGCCGCCCCAACGTGTTTTAAGAAGCGATCCTTATGCCGCACGATTCGTCAGGCAAAACGCAGCACGGTATGGGGTTCCTTTGGTTGCGAAGTCCTTTGCCGTGTTCGGGCTGGTCGATGAAAGCTAGGACCACCCGCGCCTTGTACGCGTGAAATTAGGGTAGTTTTTTTAAACTCTTTTCCGTTTAACGGAAAATAACGCGGAGGATGCTTTCGATTGGTTTTCGCACCACCACCTGATTGTAACTAAAGGCATATAAGCACATATAAGCAGGTGTGACTTCGGTGCTTGCTGATTTCGACAGCGCTTTCGTAGCGAGGTATGTTCCATGCTGTAACGAATCTCTTCCCAGTTGGAAAACAGCCCTTTTGATCTTTTTATGGGTTCATTTATTCCACTTTGACTCATCACGCCGCAATCTCGGTGCGAGTTGGGTGCGTCGCAACCACCATTGTGTTGCTCGAATAGCTCAAATTTGCCCTTCGCAATCATGCATTGTAATATTCTGATCATATCGAGTTTTGTATTGCCGCATACTTGCTTGGTGCCGTATCGATCTTCTCTAGTTCTGATGACGTGGATAGATAAGTGCTTATGTTGCACATACAAACGAGACCTGCTAGGGATTGAGACATGATTGCTATTGCTGCTGCATTTTTGCTGGATTAATATTCAAGTTTTTATATCGGTCCTCCCCTATCCTTCTAATTGCCTTTACAAGGTCATGTTCCTCCAGACGCATATCTTGACAAGAAGAATAATAGATTACTAAGCCACTACAGAAGAAGACATTTTTGGCTGGCTAAACCAGAATGCTGCTCAATCTTGTTAGTGGGTAAGCGCGACGGTCCGATAGTTGGTAATGTAGAACCGTTCATTCGGTGGTTACTTTGTAATATCGATTTATTTCCTGTTCTCAATTAGCTTTAGTGCATGTCATGATTCTGATAACTTTTGTTATGTAGGCGATCTGCAGGCGCATGTACTATTGAGAGCAGTTTGTTAATGCCAGTCCAGGAGGGCATTTTCCGCCGATTAGTGTCTGTCGCACCTTTTGTCTGACTACTTTGCGCCTCATCCAATTACTAATTGTATGATTGGAATATCTGTTTCAAGGCTTTGAACTATGGTTCATAAACGCCGAATGCGCCCTTGCACTTTTACCATCGCCATGAGGTGGCCGTAATCAATAGTCGTCCAGTTGTTACACTGAGCACCGTGATTCCACCCGCCAGTCTTCTCTCCGTATCTTCTTCGTGGAATATTGCTTCATAATGTATTAATTTACCATTCCATGACCTAATACTGGAGATTGTCAGAATTATAGGTGACTTTGTATGCGTTTTCCCGCTTGGCTTTTCTCATAGTTGTCGGAAATTCCTGATTTTAAGTGTGATGAGGAGTTATGCTCATGCACAAGCGGTGCTTCAATTCAGACCAAGTCTTATAGGCGGGACTATTTACTAGACAAACAAAAGTGGTATTCGTTCTGCTCGTTATGGTTTTGTACACTATTTTCTTCAGTGTTGCAGTACTGTTAAAAATCTCGCAATTTGCAGAAAATGTGCTTTGGAGGCGTGGGTCGGGATCGGCTTGGTGTACACCCTGCCCATGCAGGATTAGCAAATTTCGAGTTTATGACCTACCCCATATCAGTTCATGGAGGTATTCGTGTTTGCGGAAGGTCGCATGCTATCGGCCAGGGTTTCTGCAGTTATCATAGGGAAGATCGTGACCTCCCATTTATCATCTGTTTCTGATCAGGGAACTCTCTCAGCATTTGGAAACTTTGTAGACCGAGATGCTATGTGAGCGGATAACATTGAACGGCTGACGGTAGCTCGTAATGTAAGGGATCACCCTCGAGCAGCACCAGAACAAGTATAAGTTGAGCCGTTGGGCACTTAGTTGTAAAATTGGTCCTCGAGTGTTCAAGAGGCTGTGTAACGTTGGTCGCGCTGAACTTGCACTAGCCGAGCATGCTATTTTCGAATAATATGAGTAGCTAAAGGACCCTGCAGCAATAAAATCGTCGTCCTGTAAGTCGGTAGGCGCCATACTTGATCTGCTTAATCCACTTTATCCACTTGATTTGATTCGTCATTGGTCAGTTCAGTGGATTGACCAATAACGAAGCGGTTGTGCACTTGATCCGCTTGATCCACTTCATCATTGGGCAGTTCACTGATTTGGTCAATGACTACAAGTATGGCCGTGCCGTGTGAAGCTGCCGCTGCTGTGTGACGGCTAGAACAACTACCGTTGTTAGGCGCGTCCTCTGCAGGCTTCCTCTCCTGGCCCCACACAGTACAGTATGCAACAACTTGTGCGAAAGGGGTCTGTAGTTACCCACATTGCTGTCGGCTGAAGCTTTAAAAATTTGCCATTTCGGATGTCACATTTTATTCCTTGTTTATCAGAGCCACAATCAAGCCATGTCATATCTCATCAATTGAGTACTCCACATCATTCGGAACACATGGTTGATATCAATATCTACTATCAAAGATTATTCCTGTGATATTTGGTCGCGCCGTCCCTTTCGGCACGTAGGAGCAACGTGCAGATTGAGTACTAGCAATGGGTTTAGCGCTGTTCGCTATGAAAAAAGGTTGTTTTGCGTGCATCAAGAGGCACTGAGGATCTGACTACCTATCGGCGAAATTGGGAGGTTCCTTTCATAGCTGTATTTTCATTTCCTTGATCGAGTTTCAAGCATTCTGTGTTCCATGTGTTACCTCGCTAATGAATTAGATTCACAGCACATCAGCCCAGAGTTCTTGATCTTTTTTTTCGAAAAACTCGTAGGAACTTGCATACTTAATTTCATTCATACGGTCAATCTCGACCTCTGACCATATAAAATGAAAACAAGTCTGAAATTTCCAGGTCTCAGTGAAAGCGCTATCAACAATTGTTGACGTTAGGCTTTTTGAACATGATAGCGTGGTGCAATTCCAAATCCTTTCAGCCTCCTTATCTTTGTCATGACAATAACAGAATCTGCCCAAAATGCTGGTAACGACTGCTTCAATATATCTATCACGTATTTATTGTTCCTTTCATTTGTTATGAATTAGAACGAAATCGCTGGTCACGTGCTGAATGCTTTGAATATAATAGGCACATTTTCAATATGATTTTTTGCTGCTCGCTATCACTAAAAAGAGAACCTCGTTCAGTCGAAGTAGCCTTTTTGGACGGGATCCATACCGTGTTAACATAAAATGCTGATTCCAAATCCGCTTTCCTTATTTGCGGAACATTCATGGACGCAAAGACGAGAGTTTCTTGAAGTAAAGGTGTATAGAATAGAAAAGTTGCTACGTCCCCCCCCCCAAGCCCTTGAGTAAAGCAACTAAGTTTGACATGTTTAGCTGATAATATTTATCGAATAAGGTGCTCTGATCATCATTGCTTCATCAAAGGCAGCGTCCATGCAAATCTGGACTATGGGGCTCTCAGTGGATAGTAATTTTGGGGCCCTAACTAAGCCACTGCCCAACCGGCAGCTCAGGCAGTGCACTAACGGCTGTGATATTCGCCTCGAAACTGGACCCGGGATTGTATTTCGCATGGATTCGTGGCGCAACGCATCTTCGCGCGAGGATTCATGGGTTGCACCATGAATCCATGCGAAATACAATCCCGGGTCCAGTTTCGAGGCGAATATCACAGCCGTTAGTGCACTGCCTGAGCTGTCGTTTAGGCAGTGGCTTATGGCCCCCCAACGATCCACGTGAGAGCCCCATATGTTCAGATTTGCCTGCATGTTGCCTTTAAGGCGGTAGGAAAAATTCTACGACAGTTTTTATCCTGTTTGCAGATGTAATTTTTTGCGCTTATAAAATCTTCTGACTCCTCGTAAATAAACGGTCCGCACATAAGTAGGGCAGTTTGGAATCATTGTTTTACGCTTTTCAATATGGTAAACATCCCGTCCGAAAAGGCCACTTTGAATAAGCATGCTTCCCTTGTAGGACCAAAAACATTGTTTGATATTATTTGTATGTCGAACATGCCGCGTGCCTATTATGCTTACAATTAGTCCGGATGGCTTAGAACTCCTCGTGTTCATTTGATTTCCTATGTGAACTTTTCGAAACTTCAGGTTTATGGTTGATTCCTAGCAGTTCGCCACGAAGTTGACATGATGGAGATTTCTGCTCACCAAAATCATTCGATACCGTCATTTCAACGGTATACCCAATGCGAAGATGAACCAAATTTGAAGTTCAATGATGCTTGTATAAATGACTACGATTACCACAACGATTTTATGAACTGTGGTATGTTTTTTTATGGTTATTTTTTTTACTTTTTGGTCCGGTCCTGTTATCCTGTCTTGAGGGCCGACCTCAGTTCTCATCATAACTCGCGGCGCCTTAAGCCTTGAATATACCTCACGCGGTTTCTTTAGTATCGCGGCGATACGCGATCTGGCAATTTGCCAGATGTTCGCAAATTTACCGCGTGTGGAATTCAAGTGCGTAGGCGCATAGCTTTTGCAACCTGTTGCGTACTTGAGAAATCTTACTTACAAAGTATGGTAGGCGCCAGATTGAGTGACTATTTTGTTCAGCTGCAAAAGGTGCGCAGAATTAACATTAAGCCTTCGCGAGACCTGCAGCTGAAGCAGGCCTTAGCAGCTGCAGATATTACGCAGCAGACATCAATTCTGCGCGCCTTTTGCAGCTGAACAAAATAGTCGCTTAGTCTGGCGCCTTCCTATGCGCCTACGAAGATTATGAGCAGTCGTAGCAATTTTAGATATGAGGGAGGCTGTAATACTTATCTTCTTCGTCCAGTTCATTTGCGCTAGGAAAAACGCGGCACCACTAAACGACATGATTTTTTATTCGGCTGGGTTAAGAGCGGAATTTCACTTTGACTAACTTCTTCCTGAAGCGGCGCCAAATGGCAAATCATTGTGGAGTAAATGAGGTATAAGTAGGGTGGAGTTTGTGGAGCAGATGAGGTATAAGCATAGCGCATTCCTGTAAGCCACTCATATGTTGAATCCAGGGCGCCGCTTCAACAACTGAGGAGAATAATATAAACAGAGGAGTTACCGCTAGTTACTAATTTTTTGGTGTCACAAATTATAGAGTTTGACTTGTTTTTGAATCATCACTTTTGAGTACATTAGATGTCAGCCAACTGCTCCCTTTCTTTAGCAGCTACGCGTCCGCATCGCTAGGACCTAGCGCGGCGACCCCGATCGATGTGAACGGCCATACTATTTCTGTGATTCCTGCAACCCTTGCGATTTCTGTGATTCATCAATCCTTACGATTTCTGTGATTCCTGCGGGTCCCGCAACAATGTTTATTGCGAAAAAAAAAACAATGTCTATTGAAATTCGCAAAATGCTTCGTAGTGCGGCACATCGGAGGTCGAGGAATCACAGAAATTGCAGGAATTACAGGAACCGCATAAATCATCTCGTGGAAAGTGCGATCTCGATGAGGCGAGTTTGAGTAAGCTGTACGTGCGCGAACGAGGCGGGAAGCTCTGAGGTTGCGATTTGGCTGGTGGAAAAGGGAGCACAAGGTTAAAACGGATTGTACGTTCATGAGGTAGTGCCCTTACGCCCTTTGACAAAATTGCTCACCTAGAATTAGAGCAGCAAGAGCGAGAGCGTAAGCGCTGAAGATTCTTCTTGCAAGACAAACGTTCTGACTACATTGTCTGTCGAATGCATCCACCGTTTGTGCTGTTTATGCATTATGGTTATTTGTCTTCTAGGGAATGAATGTTCCTCACTGGGTCACTCTGCCGTTCCATCTTATGAAGATGATATCGATGAAAACTCCGATGATTCTGAAGAACTGGATGAGTCTAGCGGATCACAGTTGGGTAAAACCAAGGTAACGCATTATTTCATCCTTTCTTTGTGTTGTACTCAAGAGTCCTATCCACATATACTCCACTGAGAAGAGGTAACAGAGAATTTTGAAGTAAAACATACAGTTGTCCTTTCTTGGTTATCTTTTAGCAAATCATACTGCTATTGACTTATTTATTTCTCATGGATGATGACATGCTGCAGTGCCATCAAAAGATGGTTTTTTTCTAATCATAACTTTTTTAATTACAGAGCGGATGCCTTGAGTTCACAGCATCCACTGAAATGCTACGAATACGGTTTCCCTTCCAATCGATTAGTGTACGATTGTCAGATTTTCTTTGTTTGCAAGAAAATGTAAGTTTGTGATAAGCGAATGGTTCGCAGTAAATATGTATAGATTTTCTGTCTAAGTCATGAACTTGACATTTTTTAGGATCTGCTCAACGACACCATAGTGGATTTCTATCTCAATCATGTTGTTGAGCACGTTCTTCCCGACGAACCGTAAGCATTCATTTGCCTTCCTGAGTTTATTGGTTTATCGAGGTCGTCATCTGTATCAAAGTATTCACCATTGAAAGCTACCAATGTGTGCAATTCATGAGAGGGTTCTTTGTGCAGCTTCATGTAGAGTTGTAATAGTATTACGCAGTAGTGAGAGGGAAATTTCCGCGCGCTCAAAGTTGCCTCTTTTGAATCACTCTGAGAGTTTTCTACTGTAGAATTTTACTAGTAGCCCAGATCTCCGCTCTCATATACATGCGTTTTGATAACGCAGCTGCTGTTTGTTTTGCGCGCTATTTACCGGCCTGGTTGGATTCGTGCAGAATCAGCAAGTAGAAAATCATGCCCCTCAACGGGCTCTGTCTTTGCAGAGCGTCGAATTTTTACCTCGCATTACTATCTGAGCCAGCTGTCCACGCGAGCGGAGCCTATGACTGTGTCACATTTACTATAGAAGTACAGTTGCAGTATTTGAGTTAACCATTCTTTGGTGTTGATACATAGCTTAACACTTATTTGAGAATACTGCTGCATTTGATATTGCAGAAGCAAACGCATCACCGTTCTTCCATCGGTTTTCTGGCACAATCTTTCTATCCTTCAGTGTGGAGTCATGGCAGATGAAGCTAACGCTACGCTCTCCGGTGATCAGCTGGTTTGTTTGCTTTATAATTTTCTGTTTTGACTATTCCAATATGTGCAGCTGGATGCTCGATTCGGCGATGTTTTGGATTTTGTGGAAGAGTTCGATTTCATTGAAGTCGATTACATCATTGTGCCAGTCAATGAATGGGAACATTGGTAAGCCCAGTACTTTTTCAACCATAAATTTTCATAATCACCAAATTGAAGGTCGTTGGTAATCGTATGCTATCCTTTTACACCACGTGCGAGGATGGTTTGTTTTGATTCGCAGCTTACTGACGATCTCAACAACTTACAAAACATTGCTGATCTGTGCGATGAATTTCTCAAGGTAATGTCCGTGAACTGTTATCTTCTGAAATTTCCTGAAGTTTATTTAGTACGTATGGATGCGACGCCGTATGTATGAACTACCATCAAAAGAACGGATGCGTTGCATAATACCGGAAAACCTACCGCAACAGGGTAACAACTTTGACTGCGGTCTTTTCATCGTCGAATTCGCGCGTAGATTCCTTCTTGCACCTCCAGTCAATGTGAGTTTATTTTCCTTTAAACTTTAACCTTTCTATCGAATTCGCTGGGTTTGATGTACCTATACATTATTGTCAACAAAGTAGGGATCTCGTATGTCGTATGTGTCTTTTATGTCTCTTTTTTTCGGCTAACATGGTTTTCTTGAATTTACCCAGCTTTCAATTCGAAATGGTAAAGTATGTCATGCCTTGAGGCATTGCAGATCGTCCACTGCAGATTCTTTTGTTCACCCTCTACGCGTCTTTTCTCAACAATCATATGCGCATTTCGGATCATCATGCATTTCAGCTGGATAACTTTGATTTCACCGCCGAGTATCCAGACTTTACGGTCAGAGATAAGCGATTGGATATTCAACACGCAGTTTTATCACTTTGTTCAAATCGTGAGTTTTGGACTCAGATACTTGGACTTTTGAACAAGAAGATGTAGGAAGAACGATTCACACTAACTGTGCTTACTCACTCGTTGAATTACTTGTCTTCTCACCAATCTAATTTACTTGCGGGCGACGTTTGTTATTGTTATGTCGTTGCGCAGGATTGTTGTTTTTTGATTATCAGAATTATGGTGATTTGCCCAGTTAGTTGCTCTTTTCTTCATTGGAGTGTGATGGTTTCAAGACCTAGTGTTGACTGATTCTCTACGGCTATATTCTTTCTACAGTCTTTGCTCAGTTACGGTGTTTGCTGTCGTCCTGTTAGGCATCCTTTGCTGTTATGCTTCATCTACGAAAAACAAAATACAAAATTGTTGCCTGTTATCCTCTTGCTCGTTGTTGTTTGTTAGGTAGTTGCTGAAGTCCTCCGATACTCCTTTATTTTGGAATTTTGAACCATCATCGGCGGAAGTCAGTGCTTCAAGTTTTGCTCCAAATGGTACGAAAAATACTGGTTGTTAGACTTCTATGTTATTAGCTACATTAATAACTTCTCCCGCCCTAGCTCGTGTGCCTGGGTCAATTGTAACTTCATCGCATTTTTGACGTTGTTGTACACATCATAGGCGACATTGCTTGTTCTCTTTGATTATAGCGCAGTTTCTCTGCTGAATATTGTACATCTTCGTCTCAAGCCTGGGTACATTCGCTTGTTTTCGGGTTGACTGGGTCGGTAGGTTTCTATGTTGCCAGGAGGATATCTTGTTAAATTTCTCCTGTGCTCACGAGGTTGTTTTAAATTGAGATCCAACACATTGTTTAGTCTCTGTTGAAATGTACCTCACCCACTCTTTCCCATTATCTCTCTAGCTGCCACTTGTTGAATCCTGTTGTGTTGAAAAACGTAATGGAGCGTGGGCGTACCTGCACGTCAGGTCGCATGTTGAATAAATTTATTATCTAAAGATTGGTTGGTGGAGCAGTGAAGAACTAGGTTCGAAGGTAGTTTAGGCTGCCTCTTTGGGAGTGGTCTCTTGAGTTGTGGAGTGTGCAAACTTTCTATCTGCCCATTGCCATTATCATCACATTTCCGATTACACTGCTTTTTTAATTTCGGCCGTTTCGGATTGGAGCCTTCTGGGGCTTTGACTTGGAATTTTTTTTGTTGATTTGATAACGTCTGGCCGAAAATTTACCCACAAAGCTGCCAAATTTGCTCTTCGCATGAAGGACGCTCGTCTGCGATTCTGGCGTCATTCGGCAGAATTGCAGTTGTCGTGAGGTGAAGATCAAAGCAATTTTGTCAAATACTGCACAGATTGTTTGTGTGTTAACTAGCTGGTATCCGCGCCATCCATTTCATACCATTAGAGCTCACGCTAGTATGTAACAGTTTAGCACCGTCCACCCTAAGTTGTGGATCTTGAGCTTTTGGCAACATATGATAGTAGGGCTCCCTATCAAGCCAATGTCCAAATCGCGGCGCAAAAGCTCATTTCGGAAGCGAGAAAATCGCTCCGGGATAACGAAGATGCACGAGGACCCCGGACGGCACCATTTCCATCCCCCGCCCATCCGTGCGCGCTAATTATCGTTCCGAAAAGCCGGCCTGCAGGTTATCCAGAACGGGGATTGTTCGGGTTTCTGCGGATTCTCGACTTTATATTCGGAATCAGGGACATGAAGGGCTCCGAAACGATCAAATGGAATTCGAGAACCTGGGTGGACGGTGCCTTCAAATACTACCGTGTGCCTCTTCCTGGCCCAACTATCTTCATAATTAGCGTGCGCGTTTCTCATAATAACTCTCGGGTATGTCGAAAGGTGCACGTTTATTGCAAATGGTCGGTTGAAGACGCAATAAGACGCAATGTATCTTCTTATACTAGGGTGAGTCAAAAGTAATGAGAACATCGCATCTCTTTTTAAACCTACTCTCAAATTAGGTAGAATGTATATAAGCAAGTGCTCTAATTGGTGTCCGACACAGTTTTTCTTTCTCTTTCCGATAGATATAATTTTCAACCAAATTACTTCATAATTGCTAAAATATTTGGAGAAATCTTGAACACAAAGCGTTTTCCGTTCAAAATCTATGGTTTTTTCAAACTTGTCAAAAAATTCTAGATTGTGGTAATTTGAAGCAGTAAACGCTTGATTACCTTGCAGAATCAAGGTTTGATGATAAACTATTTTCGAAGCTCTCAAATTCGAAAGATTTTGTAGTGTTTAACGCATTTTTGATTTGAACCATGTTTTGAAAATTTGGGGCTTTTGCAAAAATAATTTTAAAAGGCCTCAAAATGCTAGTTTCGAAGAGTACCCAGTAGTGGTTTGCATCAAGCAGGGCCTGCTTTGTCTTTATATTATCGAATTTGTTCGAAAACCTTAAACTGAAATTCTGAGGATTAGCTAAACTCATGGAAAGCAAAAATGACGGGTTCAAAATTTGGAGAATTTTTTCGACAACTAAGAAGTCAACTGGGCCGTTGGCCCCTTTGCTGAGAAGAGAAAGAAAAGCTACGTTTTATACAATTCAGAGTATCTTCTATCGCTATTCCACACGAGTTGCGGAGAGTTCGAAATGGGGAGCTAAAAGTTCTCATTATTTCTGACTCGACCTAAGATATAAAGCTGAATGTGTGCCTGTACGTATGTGCGGAATAGAAATTTTTAGTTCTGAACCGATTTGGACCAAACTTGGCACACATAAACTTCAGGGCAGGGAGCTTGTCATAGGCTTTTTTTCGTCATCGATTGATATCTATTTTACCGATTTTATCGATTTTTTGCAAAGTTCGAGCTGAAGGGCTGGGAGTTGGCACAGGAGAGGTAAGTGGGCATGCTGATTTCGATAACAACACAGAACGGGAAATGAAGTGTAGAAGTGGGCAGAGGGAAAGGCTGTACAGGAATAGGGATGGGACATTTATAACAGTGTTTTGATAGGGCCGGGCGGAGCCGAGCTAGTGATGTTATAAATGGTTGTTCGTAATCAGCATGCTTACTAGGATCCCTTTACCAACTCCCCAACTGCGTAGCTCATTGTCAGATGTTCACTGTTTCTTTGTCGAACGACAAGTGAAACATCGGGAAGTAGCCGGCATCAAGCTTTGAAAAAGATGTTTTAGCCGACAGGGAGTCTTAAGTTTCAAAATGGAACCTGAAAATGTACTGTTTCAGCAGCGTCATACCGAGAATTTTTTTGGTAGAATTTGGAAGAAGGGGAAGAGGCAACGCTTTGAACCAATATGTTCATAGGAAGATGCCAGAAGGGTAAAAGGGGTTGCGGATAAAACTCTACGTCGAAAAAGTTGAAAAATCATGAAAGATCAAGTGTTCTGAATGTGCATGCTCCTAACCAATCCAGTTGAGATGAAGTCCTGAAAGTCATCTAATGCGAGAAACTGGTACATCACATAAATTCCTAGTTCTTCTCAATATGGACTACATACGTGATGATGAGTGATTCCAAAATCAAAGAAGGTTTATCTCCAAACTGAATACGCATTTCATAATATCTTGAGGCGATGATAGGCTCAGACTAAAGATCAATTTGATTTCTGCAATCTTTATGGATTCTGAGGATTATTTACCTCCTACGTGTCAGTGAGAAAGTTAACACGTTTTGATTCGGATCGACATGTTTATTCAAAATCATTTTCGGAAGTACAAAATTAGATATTCTCAAAAGTCAGTTTTCAAAAAGCAAAATAGGCCAAGAGGTAGGTTTATTAGATCATTTTGCTGTCAAGTGCCAAAAACATGTTTCTTTAAAATGTCTCCGCAATGCGAATTTAGCCAATGAAGACTAAATAATGGCGTTTAGGCCCGTCGCCATGCTATACTCCTTGAGGAGTATAGCGCTTGCCTCATTTCTAGAATTGTTGGCATGGAGAAAGAAGGAGGAAGGTGAATGTCGACTACCAAACGGGATGCATTGTTGTTGGTAGGTGGGCGGCACAATTTTTGGTTGAACTTGTTGAACATGTCAAAATGATATGTCAATTTTGACACGTGGCAGGTAGATATGCGGTTGACATTTCTTCTGTAAAGTTGGGACTGTAAGAATGGAGGCAATTTCCTTTTTTGGAAAATCTCAGCAGGTATGATCTCAAGTACTCCTTAAATAGTTCATTTGAAACAAGTTTTTGCACCGAAGATTCAATCTTCACCTATTTGCTTACGCGAATGCGAAATGCCGTCGCACATCAAAAAAATTTTTTTCAAGGTCATTATGCAGCTTAGCCCCGGACAGACTTCACGTGATTTGATCGTCGCGACTGAATCGCGACGAGACAACTGTTACAACATCATTCCATGCCGATCAACTTGCATTTCGGTTGTGATACTTTTCCAGCCCGAAATTTTTGAATGCAAAATGAAAATGAATGGAAATGTCGGCGATTGAGTCGCGACGATCAAATCGCGTGAAGTCTGTCCGGGGCCTTAGGCAAGGGACATACCTCACGCGATTTCAGTCGCCACGCGATCTGGCAATTTGCCAGATGTCTTCAAATTCAATACTAGTAGACCCCAAATGCACAGCATGTATAACTTTCGTAGGTCGATAAAATGCCCCATCTTCCGTACATTCAGAAACCCCGTACGATGAGTTATGAACATTTGGAGTATTGCCAAATCGCGTGGCGACTGAAATCGCGTGAGGTATGCCCGAGGCCTTACGCTTGTCCATTTAGGCCTCGGGCATACTTCACGCGATTTCAGTCGCGGCGCGAACTGGCAGTACCCCAAATATTCATGTCTTCGTAAGCGCATATCAAGTGTACAGAATATAAGGCATTCTATCGATTTGCGAAATTAATACGCACTTTGCATCGGTAGTCTGCCAGTGTTGGATTCAAAGACATCTGGCAAATTGCCATTTGCGTCGCGACTGAAATTGCGTGAAGTATGCCCTAGGCCTTGGGTTCGATCATGACCAAAATGATTTGCTAATACAGCACAATGTTGATTATGATTCTTACTCGTATTAATTACTTGAAGATACTCTCATTATCAAATGGGTTTCGACCCCGCGATCTGTTTATCCGTGGATCAACGGTGATTTTCCCTTCGCTCAAAATAATTCAGTTGTGTGCATGACATTGCTCTAGCGAACATCGCAAACATCTACCGCTATGTACCAATACTCAAAGGTGAAAAAAACTTCATGCTTTTTTTTTCAGGATTGCTTTTCTTACATTAATTCACTAAATTTATACTGAACTGATAGAGGAATGGTGCGACTGCTATCCCTATCATGCCATGATAGTGAATTTTTCTGTAAAAATCTCTCGTTCCAGTGATACAGTCTTATATTGCACATTGCGGAGTATTGAACTCATCGAAAGCGCATTGCTATCAAGCCTTTCTTTGTGCAAAAAATTTCAAAATATAATGTGCGGCTTTCAAAGGAAACTGAAGGACGGCTCTGAGGATGCTTTAGGAGAAAATGCATCAATTCTGCTTCAACCTAATGATTTACGAATAATTATTGATAACTATATTTCTCTATTATTAGCTAAAAATAGAAGTTACACACATTAATGAAGATCATTGTAAATATCTGCTGTTGAATAGTGAAATTAATGAAGACAAATTATATCCCAGTGCTAATCGCTTCGGTGTCAACATATTCATTTCGCATCTGCTATCGCGGGGAATATTAGTAAAACAACTATCTGAGTCATGTCTGTACTCTGCTTTTTGAGCAAAAAATTTTACGAATCTTTATATCCTCTACAATTTTCTATGACATTTATAACTTCACCTTCCATCCACAAATGCCTACGCGAAAATCTCTTACTTTAATATGTATATTTGTAAAACGCGCCAAACTTTTGCAAACAGAAGAATCAGTATGAGATTCGTAGAAAACTCAAACATTCCAAATATGATAAAAAAAGCTTCACCGCAAAAAATGTCAGTTTTCTACCATTTGCGCACCACAATAGTAAACTTATACAGTTGTTTTTAATACGTATTGGCTTTTCTACCGTATGCCTTCCAGCCTCAACATGACGTGGATTGGTGTGGATTGGTATGGATTGGTGAGGCGCCGTATCGCTTCGGGTTTGCGCCGCGTTGCTTTTCTCGGCGGCGCCGCACCAATTCACACCAATCCACGTCATGTTGAGGCTGAAAGGCATACGATGGAAAAAAACAATACGTATTGAAAACGACTGTACATTATCTCTCTTGTGACTCGAGGCTCGAAACTGCTTTGTAAACATTGTTCAAACAAGGCTGAACTTGTTCATTTCTGTTTCCGTTAGCAAATAATCCTAGACTCTTGGTTTCATTGTAATTTCATTTTTGACGTATTTGGAAAATTTCCTTTTTGACGTACTCAGACAAATCACCGGAACTTCCGCAGGTGACCCGGCGGAACTTCCGCAAACGCTCTGCGGAAGTTCCGGTGATTTGTGTGAGTATCTAACAGGGGAAGGATACTTGGATGCCGTAGCCATTCATAATGATTTGTATACCAAAAAATGCGCTTTTGAATGCTGGTTCGTAGACTGTCTTTCATATCTGCGAAACGATAATCTGAATGGAGTTATGATTTTTTCATTAAAAAAATTGCGTTCTTGCGGAGGGTCAAAATCATCAATAAAAAAATTTTCTCTCCTTTCCAAATGCTGAGTATGATCCAGATAGTCTAAATAAATATTACTACGTCTAAAATTTTCTTCAGTAGCATCAAACGGTAGGCTAGATCAAATCTGGTGATTTTTACTATACAAAAGTAGGCTAAATTTCCAAGGAAAAAAGTTCATAACTTTCTTCAAAAGATCGTTTCGCAGATTTCGAGTATAGATTCAGAATCTGCATTCGAAGGCGCATTTTTTGGTATACAAATCATTAGGAATGGCTGCGGCATCCAACTATCCTTCCCTCGTAAGACTTGTCTAAAAAAACTTTTCTTCTTTTTGATTGCTCCCAGAGTGCTCAGACGTTCAAAGGCAGTGAATCGGGAAAATTGCAATTACGAGCTTTCCATCCCCTCCTTCTTCTGGATGCGCTGAGTCCAGTCGCTGTGTTTAAAAGTCGAAAAAGGCTTTTCATGGCGTTGTTCGGTTTTGGAGATTGCTGGAGGGGACGGGCGAGCGATCGTTAACTGATTATTGGCTGTCTGAGCCGATTAGCCAGTTGGCGTCAAAATGGGTGGAGTTAGTATGCTGCAGTCAGTCGCTGTTTTCGGAGGGAATCCCTCGCTCAGCCCTCTCAACAATCTCCAAGGCCGGAAAATGCCGAAATAGCACTTTTTTGACTTTTCAAGCAGTCTCGAACCAGCGGATCCAGAAGACCATGTAGGTCGAAAAGCTCACACTCGCAATTTTTTGAGCCACTGCCTTCAAAGAAACTGAAACAGTGCATAGAATAATAATCATTTTCTTTAGCAGACTGAATTTTATGCTTACTAATGCCTGTTCTCTCTAGACTGGCATACAGTGACTTTGAGCTCTACGAATTTACGCCCGTCGCTCATGCTTGTTACGACATCATGTCACCCCTCTTTAATACACGAGCATAGAATTCAAAAAGTTGATTGAAAAAATCTGAAAAAAAACGAAAAAAATCAGAATTGATTTGGTGGTTGGCTAGTGCATTCCAGACAGCTCATGTATTTCTGTTTACAGATAGATATCTATTATGGAGAGCTCTGATCTATAACGATGTTTTTGTTGTCAGTGTAAAAGTAACAAGCAATACAAGTTACAATATTAAATGTCCTACTGTCTTCCTCATACGTCTTATACTCTCGAAGCTCCCCAGTGTTCTTACTCACTTTGTGTTTGATGTGAGAATGAGTACAAGTACAAGTGAGTACAAGCCATTAACCTCAATGTAGCCGTGGAATTAGCATGATGTATGAATTTTTTTTCCTAGTTATCAGCATGTAGCTCAACTTTTGTAGTTGAAACTTTTGATCTTTGCATGATCATTTACAAACGTTTTCTACGGCAACCGCTACAACCACATCGTGAAAAGTAAAGTAGACTATAAAACGAAATGCTGTCATCATTCGCGCAAGTTGTATATAAAGAGAAATTTCCATAAAATAAAAATCTTCAAAGCTTTTTGATGTAATTGAGTCGAATGGTTTGTTCCTAAGCTTAGAGCTGTAATGTGCAGAACAGAAAATACTTTCACAACAAAGCATCGAGGGCCCACCTCCACTGTGAGTTTGTGGTTTGCGGCGAAGCATACCAGCCATGTGTTGTGTTTTATAATTTTTACACAGTCTACGCGTAAGTGGCAGAACGACTTCCCACCAAGCGCAACGAGATGCAACTAAAAGCTGGTCCCAAATGAAGGCGGCTGACCCTCTGAGCGAGGCGTGCGCGGGCTACGAGCTGTAATAATGGAAGACGCTCGAATGCGGCGGTGCACCCGCTTCAAAAATGACCGAGCGCCTTCGTTAGAGATTAGCGTTTATGATTCATTGCTCTGTCCTTTTGCTTTCAAATGCGAGTTTTTCAATAGTGTATGTGATGCTGGTAACTGCCATCGAGGTACCATTTGCTTTAGTGGTGGTATCTAGACTGCACTTACATATCAGTCCAACAATGACGGCTCCAGGGGATTTTCGTTCGGGGAGGGTGGGGGGGGGGGGAACAGAAATTTTTTTCTAATAAAGGTGAGTGGACTTTCGGATATTTCTTTGCGATACCTTCGAGAACTTTTGCGGGCTATTATTCCGAAATTTCTAAAAAGGGGGCTTGGTGCCAACCAGCGCCTCCTACAAGAGTTTTTCTTGGCTAATTTGAATTTCGAAGTTTTCAAAAATTATTTTACTTCCCTACAGATATAAATAAGTCCCTAGCATAGTTTTGTAACTTTGTAAATAAATTTTAAAAATTTTGCGACTGATTCTCTGCGAGGGGGCTTTCGGTCTGCCACTGCAGCCTGCCTCTTGCCATGTAAGGACTTGGTCGTATA